GAAAAGATTTACGTCAAAGAAAGGGGCGGAGGGGGGGGGGAGCAATAAGACAACCACAGCCCACCCGGGGGGGGAAAAACAAGAAAACTCCGCAAAAAAAAAAAAAAAAAAAAAAAAAAAAACACTCTACAGTAAGGTTTTATAATTTTCTTCAAAGTAATTGTATCAGGTGCCCCCATCCCCTAAGCACCTGAACCTTTTTAACTTATAAAGACTTACTTCCAGCTGTATTTTTACTTATTTATTTATTTTGGGGATGCTCAGTCGCCCAGGCTGGAGGGCAGTGGTGCAGTCATAGTTCACTGCAGCCTTGAACTCCTGGGTTCAAGCAGCTCCTCTGCCTCAGCCTCCTGAGTAGCTGGGAGTACAGGTTCGGGCCACCATGTCTGGCTAATATTTTTATCTTTCTTTTGTGGAGATGGGGTCTAGCTGTGTTGACCAAGCTGATTTCAAATTCTTGGCCTTAAGCGATCCTCCTGCCTTAGCCTCTGAAAGTGTTGGGATTACAGGCGTGAGCTACTGTGCCTGGCTTGTAGTGTACTTTTGTTGCTACTGTGAGAAAGCACCTTTTTTTCCCCTGACTGCTTAGAGTTTGCACTTAGAACAGTTGGTGGTTTTGAATGTTTATCTTACCTGGCCCTCCTGCGGACCCTTTTTTTTTTTTTTTTTTTTTTTTTTTGAGATGCAGTGTTGCTTCTGTCGCCCAGGCTGAAGTGTGGTGGTATAGTCTCAGCTCACTGCACCGTCCACCTCCTGGGTTCAAGGTATTCTCCTGCCTCAGCCTCCCGAGTAGCTGGGATTACAGGCATGCGGCACCACGCCTGGCTATTTTTTGTATTTTTAGTAGAGACGGGGTTTCACCATGTTGGTCAGACTGGTCTCAAATCCTGACTTCAGGTGATCTGCCCCCTCGCCCTCTGTAAGTGTTGGGATGACAGGCATGAGCCGCCGTGCCTGGCCTGAACTCTGTTTTTAAATCACTCTTACTTTTTTTTTTTTTTAATATTTATATATATTTTTTAAAGACGGGGTTTCATCATGTTGGTCAGGCAGGTCTTGAACTCCTGACCTCAGGTGATCTGCCCGCCTTGGCCTCCAAAGTGCTTGGATTACAGGTGTGAGCCACTACGCCCGGCCTTAAATCACTCTTTAAGGCTGGGTGTGGTGGCTCGTGCCTGTGATCCTGGCACTTTGGGAGGCCTAGATGGGTGGATCACAAGGTCAGGAGTTGGAGACCAGCCTGGCCAACATGGTGAAACCCCGTTTCTACTAAAAGAAATACATAAATTAGCTGGGTGTGATGGTGCACACCTGTAGTCCCAGCTACTTGGGAGGCTGAGACAGGAGAATCTCTTGAACACGGGAGGTGGAGATTGCAGTGAGCTGAGATTGCGCCGCTGCACTCCAGCCTGGAGACAGAGTGACACTCTGTCTCAAAAAAAAAAACAAAAACAGCCCTTGCTTCTATACTTTTCAAAAATTGCAAATATAAGGCCAGGTGTGGTGGCTCACATCTGTAATCCCAGCACTTTGGGAGGCCAAGGTGGGCGGATCACTTGAGGTCAGGAGTAAGAGATCATTTTGGCCAACATGGCGAAACCTGTCTCTACTAAAAATACAAAAAATTAGCTGGGTGTGGTGGTGTGTGCCTGTAATACCAGCTACTTGGGAGACTGAGACAGGAGAATCGCTTGAACCTGGGAGGCAGAGGTTGCAGTGAGCAGAGGTCGCACCACTGCACTCCAGCCTGAGCAACAGAGCAAGACAGTCTCAAAAAAAAAATTTCAAGTAAGACCCCACTCCCATTGAAACAGGGAAGGCTCACATTGACTTGCTGAGCTGTGCTGACCTGACTGGTGTTAGAGCAGTGCAGTTGTAATCGGAACTACATGAGGAACTAACTAGTCAGTGAGGAGGAAGAGACTTTTAAGTGTACACATGGTTAGATTTTTACAAATTCATATACTATGGCTTGGGCCAAGGTCTGTGACATACACCTGTAGTCCTACCTACTCAGGAGGGTGAGGCATGAGAATTGCTTGAACCTGGGAGGCAGAGGTTGCAGTGAGCCGAGATCACATCGCTGCACTCCAGCCTGGGCGACAGAGCGAGACCGTGTCTCAAAAAAAAAAAAAAAAGACTGCTGAGCTCAGCCATGGGACTACAGGTGCATGGCACCACACCCAGCTAATTTTTGTAGTTTTAGTAGAGACGAGGCTTCACCATGTTGGCCAGGCTGGTCTTGAACTCCTGACCTCGGGTGATCTGCCCCCCTGAGATCTTCGATTTTCTCATAATGGAATTAGGCCTAAATAACATGACCAGGTTAGGTTTTCACAGCTTCTTGATTTCATCTCTCCAAAAACTGCATCCAACGTTTAGATGTTACCATGAAGAAACAGGTTATTTGTACCTGCACTCATGAGCTTGTACTGGGGGAAATGAAAACAGAAACCACAGGGAGAAGATTCCCCATGGTCGTGCCCAGCTGCTCTTCCTTCTACAAGATGCCTTTTTGGTACTAGGCCTTTCTCATTTTCTTTTCACCCTCTGCCTGGGACAGGAAGTGGTAAAGTTTGCATAGATTTGGGGACAGCGTGTCATGCTATAGGGCCTCTCTCTACCCAGAAAAGGACAAAGGGACCAGCAGGTGTGAAAACCTGAATCGCTCACATTATTTATGCCTAGTTTGATTATGAGAAAACGTTACTCTACATGGATGAGGCCAGCAGTTTTTTGAGACAGGATCTTGCTCTTGTCACCCAGGCTGGAGTACAGTGGTGTGATCTCGGCTCACTGCAACCTCTGTCTTGTGGGTTCAAGCGATTGTCCTGCCTCAGCCACCTCAGTAGCTGGGACTACAGGCGCCCACCACCAATCCCAGCTAATTTTTGTATTTTTAGTAGAGACAGGGTCAGGCTGGTCTCGAACTCCCAACCTCAAGGTGATCTGCCCGCCCTGGCCTCCCACTGGGATTCCAGGCATGAGCCACTGCGCCTGGCCTCCAGCAGTCTTAAATGATTTGCACTGGCTCGTTATTCTCTGCACATCTCTAATACATTTACAAGGAAGGGTATTTGGTTAAGATTTTCTGGGTCTTCTAGTCATAATAGTGCCAGAATTTTACCGTTACTCCAACTAAGAACAGATTAGTACATGGAATCAAAGGAAACTTTATTAAAATTTTTAAATTTTCATTTTTGGAGACGGGTCTTACCTTGTTGCCCAGGCTGGACTTGAACTCCTGAGCTCAAGTGATCTGGAATAGCTGGGATTAGGGCATATGACATTGTGCCTGGCTTAGGGAAACTTTTTTTTTTTTTTTTTTCTTTTTTGAGACAGCCTTTTGCTCTTGTTGCCCAGGCTGGAGTATAGTGGTGTGATCTCGGCTCACTGCAACTTCTGCCTCCCAAGCTCAAGCGATTCTCCTGCTTCAGCTTCCCAAGTAGCTGGGATTACAGGCACCCACCACCATACCCGGCTAATTTTGTATTTTTAGTAGAGACAGGGTTTCTTCATGTTAGGCTGGTCTTGAACTCCTGACCTCAGGCGATTTGCCCACCTCGGCCTCCTAAAGTGCTGGGATTACAGGCGTGAGCCACTGCACCCAGCCGGGAAACTTTTAATCACTTCAGGCAGAGTCATCCGAATAGCAGAATTCAGGAGGATGCACCTAACTAGACAATTCCCAACTTCTGTTGACTTGCCTTTGTTTTTTATTAGTGGAAGGAGATTTTGTGAAGTCCATGAGTAATGCATAGGCA